CTGTGCTGGGGAGAGAGGATGGGAGGAAGACGGGGGACCCCGAGAAGGGCCTGCTGCCGGAGGCCACGTGCCAGTCCCTCTGGTGCTGGTCCACCCCCTGGAGTGGCCACAGTTTTTTCTTTTAAAATTCTTACCCGAGGATATGCTTATTGATTTTAAACAGATTGCGGGGAGGGGGAGAGAGAGAAAGAGACAGAAACGTCGATCGGTTGCCTCCCGTACTCGCCCTGACCCGGAATCAGATCTGCAACTTTTCTGATGCTTGGGATGACGCTCTGACCCCGCCCCCCGCCCCCCAGGGGCCAGGGCTTGTTTGTGTTTAACTGAAGCCTGGAGCTGCTCACTGGGGAGCAGCGGCTCCGACTGAGGAAGGCGGGACTGAGCGTTAAGTACCTCAGGGGGCACTTTCCTGCTGTTAAAATCGGAGGGGACCTGACAGTGTTAGAAACTGGGCCAAGAGGGAAGGGACGCTTATTTTAGGGAGCCCCTGACTCCCTCCCCCGCAGTGACTGACAGCCACCGCAAACACCCCATGTTCGGGGTCCCTCCTCCGGTCTTTTTCCCTGAGGGTTGGGCCAGAGCGTGAACACCCAGCATGTCACAGACGCACCCCCTCCTCCCTGTTAAAGTCACCTTTGTCTCAGTGCTGTGTGTCGTGCACCTCTGCTCTCCGGGGACACTTGGCTGAACGCCCCAGGGCCGCACGGGGCTGGGGTTTCAGCCACGGTCGCCCCCACGTCCGGGAGTGCTCCTGGGCGCTGCCTCACAGAGGTGTCGGGTGCCAGCTCCTGAACCCCAGCGGCCGAGCGGGTGGCAAAGGGTCCTCCTGTCTTTTTCTCTAGGACGGTTTCAGCAGAGGTGAGCCAGGCGCTCCGGCACCCCGCCCATCCCTGGGGACGGTGACTCATCTCTTGTTGCAGGGACAGTCCACACCGCCCCTCGGGTGGGCGGACACCTGATTTCTCTTTAACGGACCTAAACTTGGCGGGGCGCCTCTGCTTCAACCAAGGGCGGAAACAACTCAATCTTTTTTCCGTTTCTTTGAATAGTGCAAAAAAAAAAAAATGTCATTTTGCCTTTCCGGGTACTGCGGTGTCTTCTCATAGAAAGGGTAGACTATCCATTTATTACTTCCTCAAGTCAGGACTTAAACCCAATCCGGTCGATCTGGGCTGTGGGTCTTTTTGCTCAAAGGTTCGCTCCTTCCCTCTTCTCTACCCACTTAGGGCACCGGCCAAGGTGATGCCTGGGTGCAGTGGGGCGTTCGCAGGACCCCCCCCCCGGGGGAGGGGAGGGGCCTTGTCCTCCTGGGCCTTCACCTGTCCACCAGAGATCTGGGCCTCGGGGTCTCCAGCTGTTCTCCTCTGTGCCCGGCCCGCCCACCTGTTCCGTGTCTGCCTCCTGCTCGGCAGAGATGCGTCCTCAGTTCACCGGGGGGCAGGGCGGCTCACTGGGACCCCCTCTCTCCATCCTCACTGTGCTCACCTGCCCCCAGAGCTCCCAGGGGAAGTGGGGCCACAGACGCACACCCCGGGGTGGAGTTCAGGGAGCCTCTCATCCTTCTTCCCCACCCTCTTCCCTTTCTGCGCCCCTTCCCCACCTTAGCAAGAGCTTCCGTCTCTTCTCTGGAAAGAGCCCTTCCCGCCCCACAGCTCGTAATAAAGTCCCCACGCTCTGAGTTCTTTAAGCTCTGGTTCCTCGGAACCCGGAAGTCTGGGTGACTCTTGCCCTCTCTCTCTCTCTCTCTCTCTCTCTCAAATCTCATAAAAGCTTCTTTGGCTCGGGTGCCAGGGCCAGAGAGCCTTGGCTTTCGAGGCACTTCTCAACCGAAATGGTGTTAGTTTGGAACCGAAAAGCGAAACACCAGCCGCTTTGTGGGTGCGCAGGTTCCAACCTCCCCCTGCGGGAGGGGGGCCGCAGTGCCCTGGGTGGAGGGTGCCAGGGGTGGCAGACGCCCTGGATGTTATTTCAGAATATGCTGCTGTGGGGCATGTCCCTGTGGACTGCAGCTGGACCGCTGGTGGGGGTGAACGTCCCCGGGGTTCACGCCGGTGAGAGCCGCCCTTGGGCCTCGGGCTGTCCAGGTGAGAGTCAGGGAACTCTCGCCCAGGGCTCTCGCCACGCCGGGTCCTTGGGGGAGATGCAGGGTCTCCGGTTCACTTGCTGATAGAGTGTGACAGATCTGTTAGAGTTCTCTTTCTAGCTCTTAGAAAATCCGAGTGGGCAGGGTGGGCAGGGTCCCTGCCTTGAAATACGTGAAGGAATGTAGTGACGTGCTGTTTTTCCGATTTGGTCGGTACGTGAGTGCAGGGCACGCCCGTGCCCGCACCCGGAGGTGGTGTCCTGGATGAGGGCGGGTCCCCGGTGTGGTGTGCGTTTACCTCCGAGCAGCCAGCTGACAGGAGGGCGGCGACGGCTGTATCGCCAGCCCTGGGGTCCGCGTGGTCGTGGCTTTGGCAATGCTCAGCCGTGTCCCAGGTCTTGTAGGTGGTGATGTCAGGAGGGCAGGTCACGGGCTGGGGGGCGGAGCTCTGGCGTCACGCTCTGGCTCCTTTTCAGAGAAAGAGGGGTTCATGGGTGACCCCCCCCCCCCGACACTGGCATTTTGTGTTGAAGGCAGCGCTCCCCTGAGGACACGTGTGCCCCTTTGGGGGCCTTGGCAAACTGGATCGAGGGGACCGCATCTTCCCAGACACTCAGTCACGCTCACAGCCCGTCCTAGGAGCCACCTGGGTTCAGAAATCCACAGGCTTGGAGCACCGGGGGCGCTTTTTTTTTTGTCTTCAAATCTCCAATTTTGACTATTTTAGTTGAGAGGAGAGAGTTTAATTTACTCGACAAAGTTAACCTGATACCAACACCTGACCAGACCATGCGGAGGAAGTAATTTCACTTTTAAATATGGATGCGAAACTTTTAAGTAGCAACAAACAGCCTCGCTATACGACAAAAGTACATAGAGCATAAGTGTGTGGTGTCGGGAAGGCATGCTGTGATAACTCGTGTTTAAAGAGTCTTCTAAAAGTGGCCTTATGATGACTCCAAAACATGACCCAGTTAAAATCAAGACGGGAGCGTTTTGTCGGGGGGGGAAGCTGGCTGTGTCTCTCCTGAAGCTTACCTGGTGGAATGATTTTGTGGAAATAGGACATTTTGAAACAGGAGCGAATGAGAAGGAACATGGTTTAGTCGTTGTGAACGTGTATTTTGAAGCCAGAGTGTTTTGAACAGTTGGTCGATACTGGAATGGATGAGAGGAACAAGATAGAAAAAGCTTTAAAATAGGTCCCAGTGCTCATGGTAATTAAAGATAGAAAAAAGGTAAAAGTATTTGAAGTCAATGGAGAAAGAATGGGCTATTTAATAAAATGTGCGGAGATACCTGCTGAAACATTATGAAAATAAATAATATCTTTATTAAATGCCAAATTCCACATAGATGAAAAGAAAAAAAGCTCATGTGAAAAATTGAATGAAAAAAAAACTGGGATAAATTTAGAGGAACATTTATGTATCATTGTGGAAGAGAAAACCATGAATGAAACATTCGATCCATTTGGCTGCTAAAAATTTCCCTATGTGCCAAAAACCAGACCCCCTTCCCTAAAAAATGAAATGACAAAACCAGATGATATGTGAGTAACTGTGCTTGGAAAGATAAAGGCTCAATATTTACAGTGTAACAGGGACTCCTAAAGCTTTCGATGTAAAGAATGATAGATACATAAAGTGATAATGTTAAAAGTCCCGGAAAAATTTATGTCCTAGGAATATATCGCACAACCCTTTCCAGGAGTTTACCTCCAGGAATTAATTGTGCACATTTGTAAACGTTAGGGTGTTTTTCACACTTATCTGTGAAAGCAAGAGAATACAGAAGAAAAAGTAGGCAGTAAGGAAGAAAGGAAGAGAGAGAGAGGAAGGGAAGTAGGGTCTCAAATATCCAACAATATGTGGATAAAGACATGTTCTAGTAATATAGTTGACAACTGGTCCGTGTTGAGAAGTGATCTGGAAAGAAGCCCTGGCTGGTGTGGCTCAAAAGAATGAGTGCTGACCTGCAAACGAACCAAAGGATTGCAGGTTCGATTCCCAGTCAGGGCACATGCCTGGGTTGCAGGCCGGGTCCCCAGTAGGGGGCGCATGAGAGGCAACCATACATGGATGTTTCGCTCCCTCTCTTTCTCCCTCCCTTCCTGTCTCTCTAAAAATTGATAAATTAGTTTTTAAAAAGTAATCTGGAAAGACACTCACTGTAACACGAAGGAAGATTCTTTTATGGAACGACCACATGTCGTACACAAATGCATCCATGCAGCTGCCTGGACGCTTTTACGCCAACAGGTGAGGTCAACAGTGGGTATGTCTGTGTTAGTGGTTACAGCTGACTTTTCTTAATTTTGCACACGTCTTTGCTCCTTTGTTTTCTCTTTCTCGCCACGACCTCGTTTTAGTTTTGAAAATGTAAAAAGCAGTTGCTTTTAAAAATGTGACTCAAGTCTGAGGACTTCCGAGTCAGTAGGATGACCCCAAGAGGTCAGGGTGGACTGTGAGCGCTCAGGCTCCTAGTCACCAGCTCCGGGGGGATGTCCCTGCAACCCAGGCCTCTCCTGCTTCCTTCCCCTTGGATTCCGCCTCATCTCGGCCCTTTCAGGGGCAGTTTTACACCCATTTTTACTCGAGTTGAGGAACTTGAAGCCCCTGAGGGCCGGGACTGGGCTTTGCAGTCCCAGAGGTCCCAGGAGGCCTGGCGGAGCTGTGTGGCCTCTTCACGGAAGCAGGCTGGGCTGGCATTCCTGGCCCGGAAGACCGATGAGAGAAGCCCTGGGCCCTGGAGATCAGGAGGGGACAACCGGGATAGCTGAGGAAGACGGAGGCCACCAGCCAGCCCCGGGGGCGCTGGGTGGAGAAAGGCGAGGGCCAGCCCCCACCTGGCCAGTTCCCCAAAGATGACCTGTCCTGTTAACTTCTGCTTTTTTGTCTCCCTGTGGTGCACACAGGCTCCCACGCCCCCCCGGACCAGCCCTGCTGCCGCGGCCTCTATGACTTTGAGCCGGAAAACCAAGGAGAATTAGGATTTAAAGAAGGGGACATCATTACACTAACGAACCAGATAGACGAGAACTGGTATGAAGGGACACTTCGCGGGGAGTCCGGGTTCTTCCCCATAAATTACGTGGACGTGATTGTGCCTTTACCTCAGTGAACATGTGACTCGGACGCCGGACAAGCTCTCCTCACTGAGAGGAAGTCCCCCCCCCCCGTGTGTCCCCCCCGCCCCATGTGGCGGTCTGTGACATCCTCTCGCTGTGACCGGCATAACCATTTTTGTATGTGTGCCCCCTTTGTAATGTATTTTATATCGATTCCATTTGTATAAATGACCTTCTTGGCGTAGCTACCCGAAGACAGAGCTTTTCTTTCTTTGCTTGTTGCCCTAAAAGCCGTTGGTCCAACCGAGGACTGTGCTTTCTGTTGCTAGAAATAAATCGCTCCCGTGGCGGTTCACGTCGGTGAATTGCCAGATGCAAAATTCAAGACGAAGAAATGCCGGAGGCTCTCTTTCTTGACGTGACTGATGGTGGCTGGTCCTCTCCCTGCGTCCTGTGTTTGCTGACCTTGAATAGCCCAATAAATGCGACAGTGTGTTGGCAAACGGCCCTGGTTATTCTTAACCTGAAGTTGATCTCTAGGCGCAGTGGTCCAGCTGCAAACTCCTGTGCCCCGCAGCTGACTGGGGTCACAGCAGGACACTCAGCTGATTGCTCCCGACCTCGTCAGCAGCAGCCCGCCCCCCCTGCCCCCAGCTGTGGGCCTTCACTTGGCGCCCCACTCAAACAGAGCACACCTCCTTCCAGTCCGGGGCACCGTCGAGTTTGCCTGCGAACCAGCCTTTCTCTGGCTGCACCCAGAGCGGACGTGGCGATCGGATTCCTGAGTTTAGAGAGAGGCGAGTGTGTTGACCAGGGGCTTGCCCCCCTCAGGACTCGGCCTGTCGGTGGGAGAGAGCAGTTCTGAATCCCTCCCAACTGTGCGGTGGATTAGAGATAAAGACCCCGCCCTGGAGTTGGGTGCTCCGTCCTTCTGTGGCTGGGTGGGTCAGTGCGGTTGGTTGTGGGGTTCGGGGTGAGGGGGCCCAGAGCGCTCAGCCGCACTCTCCAATATAGCTTTCTCCAGGAGTACGATGGATTCGGTTTCCCCGATTCTCACCTTTGGTCTTCTCGCCGGGTTCATAATGGGGCCTGTTTAAATGCCGAAGTCTGGCCTACGTGTGCAGGAACTCGATGGCCGACGCAGGGTGGGGGTGTTCGGGGATTGCCCGTGGGAGAGTCTGGGGGTGGGGTCAGGGCAGGTGGCTTGGGACGTTGGTCCCGGGCACGGGGTCTGTTTCTGTGACAATTTTCTCACGTTTCTGTTCAGCGGTCCAGACGTTGGCACGTTGAATGGTGTTTACTTTCTCCTTCCTGTTCTGTCCGGTGGGGTCCTCAACCGGGAGCCCCTTCCCCCCACTGTGCTGACGCGCATTGATTTTCTGTGCAGGTCCGAGGCAGGTGGACCCAGAGGGGTCTCGAACATGCCCTTGGTGGCCTTGGGTGACAGCTGAGGGCTCCGCGAACGGGGCCCATGGTGATCAGACGGCGCCGGTGCTCTCCACACTGGGTTTGCTGCGTGGCTGCCGGCAGAGTCAAGGACACGCATTTCCTGCTCCACCTTTGAGGGCAGAGAGGGGACAGTGAGATTGCAAACCTGCATCCATTACTCTTGACACATGATGTATTATCCAGCTTGGCCGTCTTCTTGACGGGGTCAAAGGAGGTCCTTCCCAGTGGGGGGGGCATTGTTGCCACGGTTACAGCTGCATCTGGACCCTCTGAGTCTCAGACGTGGGGCAACGGCCTTCCCCTATTTCCAGCATTAATCTAGGAATTTCTTTCATCTCTGTTTAGTGATTTTAATGGGGGACTGGGTGGTTTGAGGAAACCATTTGAGCTCGAACCGACTTCTTGGATCCGAAGTCTTAGCCTGACCTGAAATTTCATGTCAATAACAGTTTGTTTAAAAGATTTTATTTATTTATCTTTAGAAGGGAAGGGAAGGGAAAGAGAGAGGGAGAGAAACATCAATGTGTGGTTGCCTTTTGTGCGCCCCCTGCTGGGAACCGGCCTGCAACCCAGGCATGTGCCCTGACTGGGAATCAAACCACGATACTCTGGTTTGCAGTCCCTCGCTCAGTCCACTGAGCTACAACAGCCAGGGTTCAATAACAGTTTTTAAAAAATTTCTTCCCCGTTTGCCTCATTTAGGAGTGGCCGAACTCGGGACATTTTGTTCTCGGTTTGCCTGAACCCACACGGGAATTTGGGGACATTTGTGTGGTGACGTCTTTTGGTTTCTCTGTTAGTTTTTGAAAATAACAATAAAAATACACACCGCTGTGGCTCCTATTTCAGGAAGCAGCATTTAGCAATTTCATGGGAAGTGCAGGGGACGTCCCACTCTTGCTTTGATGGTAGTAAACCAGAGGCCCCAGCTGGGATTGTGTCAGTCTGGCCTTGGGGGATTCAAGGGCGTTCTGGGTGCGCCTTCCCGGCAGACATCCACAATGGCAGAGCAAGGACCCGCGCGGAGGAAGCGTCGTGTGGCCGGAGCCACGGAGCCGCAGGAGCAAAGGGTGCGGACAGGCAGCCGTCCAGAATGACTGCCAGTTCACGGTTTCTGGGTTTAGCTTTTTTTAAGAAAAAGACCATCGATGTTTTCCCCATTTAGGGGGAATTCTAACACAGTTGCATGCGCATTACAGAACATTTAGAAATTCCTTTCCCGTTAAGTGGAAGTACAGGTAGGGGGTAGATGTACAGGTGCCAGTTTTATCTACGCTCTTGATGCCTGTGGCTTCAGGTAAGTACCTTCTTGCCCACAAGTCACAGAGTCACATCTCCAGCCCAGGAAGTCCTCCTGATTTTAGACCCACAGGCATTTCCAGCTCCAAATGCTCCAGGTGAAGCCATCATCTCGGCCCGGCGCCCCTCCCGCCCACCATGCCCCTCCCGCTCTCATGTTTCCCATGTGAGTGAATGACCCTGATGGCCACCATGCCTGGCCCCGGTCAGGAATCAGGGCACGGGTTTCAGTGTTTCTCTCCCTCCTTTTCATCATCCCCCAAGTCATATCAGTTCCGCCTCTCTGACAGTTCTCAAATCTGTCTTCTCCTCTTATCCCCACTACCACTGATGCGGGATCAGGCTGTCCTTTATCACGTTGTATCTTATTTGCTCCTTACGCCCTTGTGCCCCCAAGACTTAGCACACGTCCGGCGCAGGGCAGGCTGTCGGATAATACATCCACGTCGGTGGTGTGATTCTGCCCGTGGCCGAGTGGTTCGTCAGGCCTACAAGCCGACCCCGCGTAAATGGTGGGGTCTGCGGAACATCGGCTCTCCACGCTCACCCACATGGACCCCGTCTTGCCGGAGTCCCGGGAAGCCAGGCATAAAAGCGCTTCATCGGCTGTCAAGCCCCTCCCACATGAAGTGCGTGGTGCAAAACTTAATACGTAGAAATGTTTTTATTGAACTTATAGTTGGGAAAAGGCTTCTCAAGTATTCCTTTGTGGTGCGTCCAAGCCAAATATTGCCAAGCGGAGAGAGTCGGAAACGCGAGCTCGGGCAAGCAGACTAAACAGGCGGGCCTCGTTCTGGGGGGGCGGGCTGAGTGACCCGCAGTCTGCTCCGGAGAACTCGCTTCTGTGCACAGCTCTTCCTGACGACTCGCGTGGAAAGGGGTGGCCGTCCTGCTTTCACACGGTTAATTTGCACGCTCGCTCCAATGAATCGATTCTGCAGTTCATTCAACCTTGGTCTCCCTGAGAGATCAGAGGCAATGCGTTCAACGTGAATTTTGCAGAAAGCCAAGTGTGAATAGTTGAAGGACTCTGGATTGCTTGGTGGTGTTTTCTTTTTCTTAAATTTAACCCTTTCGTGAACCACTATCTTTCTACAAGGCAGCCTGTGCTCCTACCCCTCCGCGGTCAGCCAGTAACGGACAGGGGTGAGCTGGACTCACGGCCCTGAGCACAGTGACCCCCGGGGCTCGGGTGCAGAAAACTCGACCAGACGCACCACGGTATTTTTTACCTCTTTGGTGCCTCTCACCGCATTTCTGTGGCAGCGTCTTGCCTTTCCCCAGCAGACAGTGTGTCTCTTTCTATCCTAGAGCCCCTGGTTGACTCTCGAAAGCTAGGTGAACCAACGAGCTAGAACTAAAGGCAGACTCCGTGGTCTTGGGGGAGACCTCGCGTCTGCCTCTGTACCGCCGACAGGAACCCGATGTGGTGGGAAGCCTGAGGCCCTTCCTGGGCTGCTCCAGGGACGCCAGGGAGAGAGTGACAGTGCCGTGCTCTCCACCGGGAAGCTGTTGCAAAGTATAAAGATGACCCCAGAAGCGGCGCTGGAAGAATTTCCTAATTTCACACGTTCATAATGTAGTGGAATGTTGATGGCCAGGGAAGGGAAGGGACTTGCCCGGAACCCCGGCCCAGACTGGCGGTGGGTTTCCTGACTCCTCTTCCCCGGTGTGGCTGGAGCGCCACATGGGTTCTGTGTGGACCTGTGTGTATGCGTGTGTGTGCGTGTGTGTCTGAGTGTGACACGCACATGGAGTGGGGCCAGGAGAACACCTTCTAAGCCTTGAAGGCCAGACAAGGAATTGGCCTTGAGTTTGGGGACTGGAGACTTTGCTGGTCCTGGGAAGGGCCACCAAATCCAAACGCTGTTCCTCTGAGCCCTTCAGGGGACTCCAGCCCTCCCTTGCTCCACCCTCAGCCGTTTGGAACTTTCTAGAAAGAGTTTAACGCTGCCCTCACCCTCCTGGCAGAGATTTTGATTGGCTCGGATCTGCCTTGAGCTCCTCATTGGACGGGATGGACCCGACACCTGGAGGCGGGTCTCAGTGCAGGACGAGGGGAAAAACCAAGAAAGGGGGGATGTGTGCCGGAGCCCACAGAGTCCCTCCTCCTGTCACACGTCCTCCCAAGTGGCAGACGAGCAGCCAGATGAAGACGCCCGTACATTTCATAACACAAAAGTTTCTGTCTCAAGGAAGGACCCCACTCTGGACAGACAGAACTCGGTCATCGCTAGCTGAACGCGTGTTCCGGGTAAGACCTGCCTGTGCCTACGCGAGTGTTAGAGCTTCCCACCTGTCCCCCAGCAGCACCGACTGTCCCCAGCCAGAGCCTGGAGAGTTCTAATGGGGCAGTGAGGTGGTGAAGGTGGGACCGGACCCCTGAGGTCCCGCCAGCTGTCCCCGAGTGCCCTCAGCTCTCCATGGCCCCCTGTTCTCTCCGCCCACAGAGCTTCCTAACCCACACGGCCACACATGTCCGAATCCTGAACCTGCTGGGTGAACAGAAAGGCGGAACTTCCACTGGGGTACCGGCGATGTCTCCTGCTTTCTCTCTTGACCAACTCTTTCTTGAGTAGGTTCGCTTGACACGCAGCTGAGAGAGGCTCAGTCCTGGCCTCCGGACTTAATGTGGGGCACCCCCCGGGAGGGGGGCAGGCTGCGGAATCGAAGCTGCCGGAGGGAAAAAGAAACAGTCCTGTGGAGCCGTCCACACCTTCAAACCCAGCGACTCCTACGTTCCCCACTGGCTCCCCCAACTCCAAAGGCCGTCTGGGTGTGCCTTCCTGAATTTCAGGCACCGGAGCCTCCGCTCAGTGCAGCTGCCGCTGCAAAGCATAATATCTCTTTGAATTCTCCATTTCACCTTGAATATTCATGTGATTTTTGCTCCAGACCCCACGATAGGCCAGGGCTGGTTTTAGAATGCAAACGGCGTGAGCAGTGCTCGCGTCTGCTTGCCGAGAATGTGGGGTGTGAAGCCCGAATACAGCGGCCCCCTCCTTTGCAAAATGGCACGAAAAACCGCCCCTGCCCCGCAGGCCTGTGTGACGGCCGAGTCGAGACAAATCAAGTGCCCGATGCGCCTGCCGAGTTCTGGAGGTTTGTGGTCATTCCTCTCCCTACTCCCTGGCGTGAGAAGCACGTCCAGTCAGTCCTCGGTGTGCAGATTCCACATTTGGGACTTCGCCTGCTGGGTAAATTTTATTTGCAACCCCTGAATCGATCAATACCTGCAGTCCTTCCCCGTCATTTCAGGAGGGGTCAGAACTGTGAGTTGCCTGCTAGGCGTGTTCCTGGTGGAGACGGAGCGAGGCCACACATGGCTTCTTATCAACGGGTTTACTTTGATTTAACATTTAAAGAATTATTTATTGACTTGAGAGAGAGAGAGAAACATTGATTTGTTGCCCCACTTATTGACGCACTCACTGGTTGATTCTTGTACGCGCCCCAACTGGGGATCGAACCGGCCACCTTGGGGTATCTTTATGACACTCTGACCCACGGAGCTACCTGGCCAGGGCCTCCGCTGGTGTCCTTTTATGGCCTACGTCTTGTCACTTTTCACATGTTTGTCTTTTAGTGGTGACTTTACTGCTTAAAACGGCCCCCACGAGCAGTGCTGAGGGGTTGCTTGGCCCTGAGCGGAGATGGCGGGCACGCGCCCTGCAGAGAAAATCCCGAGTTAGGCGAGAGATGCCCGAGTCTGACGAGCTTCGCTCCCGCACGAGGCACTCACTGCTCCAGTCGCTGCGACTCCCATGTGAGTGAATCGACAGTGGAGGTTAAGTACCACGGGTTGAAAGAGAAACACATCCAAGAAGATTGTGTGTGGATCGCAAAATGGTGTGGCTGGCAGCCGGCCGGAACCTGACCCTACGATTCCCCAAGGAGCAGTGTCTCTGTGCTCGAAAATCCAGTGACTTGATGGAACATAACCACGGTGACGGTGACGGAGGAACCTCGATGGTGCGCAGGTGCCCCCGCCCAGGTTTGGCCCAACCTGCCCTGCCCCTCACAGATGGGTCTCCCCACCTCGCGCGGCTCTGGCCCCTTCCCACCAGATGACAGTTGCTTTGTTTGAGATCCTTCTCGTGGCACCAGCAAGTCCCCGGAGTGAGGAGAGGATCATAGGGACGAGAGCAGGTAGGGCCAGCTCCTCTGGGTCAGGTTGTCCCGTCACCTGGAGCCTCGTGCCAACCACAGAAGAGCTCCAGGCCCCAGTCCCGGCTTTGCCAACCGTTGCGTTCTGGTTGTTGCGCCCCTGAGCCTGTGTCCTCGTGGGTGAGCTGGGAGTGACGCCCCTGCCGGAGTGGCCCAGGAGGGGTCCGCACAGGGGCCGCTGCACACTCCGCACCCAAGGAAATGCTGACCCTGGTCCCTGGCTGGCGGCCCACGGCGCACTTTCAGAGCAAACCCCTGTCCCCTTGGCTTTATCCCGCAGAGACTGGGCCAAGGCCGGCGACACACCAGTTCCCTTCACCTCTGCAAGTCCACGGGAACTTCACCCTGGCCCCTGACACCACCATTCCCGCCCCAAACCACAGGCCTGGGCGCCCCACTAGTGGGGCAGCCGAGCTCGGCTCCTGCGGGGTGGCTCCCGGTCGCTGGCAGCCGGGTGTGGAGTCGCGCCCCCCCTCCCCCCCGCGCCGCGCCGGGCGCGGGGAGGGGCCCTGGTCTGCGACTCCAGCCAGGCCTGGCCCGGGGCTCCTGGGCGCAGGCACGAGCCAGCGGTTCCGGGCAAACGTCCGTGTGGCCGCGGGGCCGACTGAGCAGAGCCGGCGCCCGGGCCCGAGCGGGGTGGGGTGGGGACGGGGGTGGGGGCGGCATCCCCACGCGGGCTCCGGCGGCGGCGGGGCGCCGGGCTGGCTCGCGCGCGGCCGCCTTTCCCCAGCGCGGCCGGCGGCGGCGGCGGCGTCGGCAACCCCGGCTCTGGCACCGCGCCTGGCGGCCGGCCCGGGCGAGGAGTGGCTTCCAGGAAGCGGGCGCAGGAGCGCTCCAGCCGCGTCTCGCCGTCGCCGGGGCCCCGCGCGCTCCGAGCGCCGGGCCGGGCCCCCCGCACTCCCTGCGCGCCGACGACCCCGCGCGGGCGGAGGGCGGGCCGGGCGCGCGTTGCACTTGCCGGGCGGTGCAGGTGGCGGCGCGCGCTCTGCGCTCTGGGCCGAGGCCAGCGAGGCGCCGCGCGCCCGGAGGGGCGGGGGAGGCGGGGCGGCCCGGCCCGGCCCCATTTAACTTCGCTGCGGAGACGCGGCGGGCAGGAGGCCGGCGTCGGGGACGGTCCGGGCCCGTAGTCCGCACCGGGGACCGACGAGGCCGCCGCGCCGTCTCCCCTCAGCGCGCGCCCGGCCCGCCCGTTCCAGAAGCGCCCGCGGTGCCAGGTGGGTGCTGGGCGCGGGAGCCAGGGCGGCTCTCCCAGCCGTGGTGACCCGGGCTGGGGACGCCGTAGTCAGATTTGACAATTCAAACTTTAAAAACGAAGATATCAGTGACTTGGCAATATAAACAGGGAAAATACCGAACCCCTCCGCGGGGTCCGAACGCCTCAGAGAGGGACGGGTACGGGGCTGTGCGCGGGCGGAGGGGCGGTCTGGGGAGTTTTTTGAGGGGAGTCTTTCAGGTTTGGGGGCGTCTAGGTAGAAAGGGGGAGGCGGCAGCCAGAAGCCTCAGGCGTCGGGAGGTCCCGCAGGTTGGCCGCGCGCCGGTCTCCGGCTCCTAGGGGGCCGCCGGCCGGAGGGACGCGCCTGGCGCGGAGCGTGGGCGCGGGGAGCCGCCGGGACGGCCGTGCCCAGAGCGAGTGAGGGGCGCGCGGGGTCCCCGGCCCCGCCGCCTCCCTGCAGCCGGGAGGTGCCGCCCCGGGTCGGAAGCAGCAGCACATTTGCGGATCGCATTAGGCCGGGTCCTTAATGCTTTCTCCAGATGGAGAGGAGCCACCGACCCGCCCCCGGACACCGGCTCCGCCAAGGCGCCCGCGAGGCGAAGCGCGAGGCGAGGGTGACTTCGGCTTTTCCAGTCTCGGCTCGTACTCATTTCGCCGGGAACTCCCAGGAGGACCCTGGAGAACCCCTTACGCGCCCCCTGCTCCACAGGGTGTCACAGGGTCTCTGCCGGCGCCCCCTCCCTGCTCCGGGAGGCTGTTGGCTGCCTCGCGGGCCTCGCTGGCTGCAGCCCGGGGCTCCGAGGGCGCACCGTGTCATCGGCGGGGAAAGCCCTGAACTTCCAGAAGACCTGCGCTGCCGCTCGGGAGTGGTCACCGACTTGCTGGCAGGCCCCGTCCCCTCTTTGGGACGGTTTTGTGGGCCCCAGACTCACCTTGGCCCGAAGTAGCAGAAGCTGGCAGGTGCCCTAACCCTTGGCTCGGGGTCGGTTTCCTGAGTCGTTTGCCAATGGCCACACCCTGGAGCTGACAAACGAGCTGGAAAGTGGCTGGTGCGGAGACGCCTGGGCCTCTGGAGGCCTGGCGGCCTGGGCCACCCGCTGGAGGCCGGTCCAGCTGTCCTGCTGACCCCGATGTGGACTGGTCCCACTAGAGAAGCCCAGGCAGGCCCATCGCGGACGGACACAAACCTTCCCCAATCTCCCTCTGATTTGGGAGCTGCACTTAGGGCCGGAGCTGGTAGGAAACCAACTGTTTTCTCTTTAATAGGCTTGAGGTGAGAGCCGTCCAGGACAGCAGGCTCCATGGCGTCCTGCAAGAGCCACCGGTGGCTGCTGATCTGCGCGGTCTCCGTGCTCACTGCTCTCCGTCAGGTAACAGGGACGGGGAGGGGCATGGAACGCATGCGCTGTTGACTTAGGACCTGCACTCTAGGCCCCCCAGTCCCGCTGGGATTCGTGTTTCCGCCGTACCAGAGAGCATGAGATTTTCTTTCTGCTTGCAATGTGTCCTCAGAGGTTGCCTTACCTACAAGAATAACCTCAATCCCTTGGGTCCTGTCTGAGTCCTGAGTAAGGGCCTTAATGCCACTGTGGGTACCAGAGGTGACTTGGGACAGTCTAGAGTGGCCACCTCCATGTGCTTGGTAGAGGCTAGAAGCCAGGCCCAAGGCATGGGCAGAGTTCAGCGTCTGGCTCTGGCTCAGCTACTAAGTAAGTAGTCTAAGTTTACTTCTGTCGACACATACAACATGGTCTTGCCGGCTTTTTTTTTTTTTCTTCTTCTTTTCTTGACTCTTATGTTTCCCACTAGTCTGGGAGGACCCAGCTCACCTCACTGGCTGACAGGAGTAATGCTAGTCTTGGGGACAGACAGTAGGGAGGGGTGAGGACAGTAGCAAAGTGGATGGCACACACTTCCTTTATTCCCAGCCATGTCTTCCCATTGCCAGCTGATCACCGCTGAGTGGGGACGCAAGCCCATACTCGCCAGGTCTCCCAATCTTTCAAGAGAGCTGCACCACCCAGAGTTTCCGTGGAATCTGCTAGTTTTTAAAGCATCGAACGTCAGACGACTGTGTTTGTAGCCTGGATATGGTCAAGCAATTTGAAGCCCCAGATCTAAGGGTGTAGGACACACCTCAGTCAGTGCTGTGTCCTGAGGGCTGCCGCTCGCTCCTGTATTACCCTGTGTGAATTAGAACAGACTAGCCAACTGGGGACCACGCCCGCAGCCCAGGCATGCGCCCTGACTGGGAATTGAACCGGAGACCCTTCGGTTCACGGGCCGGTGCTCAACCCACTGAGCCACCCAGCCAGGGCCATAATCATATGTTAACAGGATGTCTTTTGTTAGCACAAAAGTATTCAAGGTGATTTTGTGGTTTCCTGGTCAGCAAGGTGCAGTGTGTGGTTGAAAAGTAGACACTTGCTTTTCCAACCCACCTGCTGGTCTGAAACTGGCCGGGAGAGCTTCGGAGATGTGTGCTTGGTCGTGCAGGGCTGAGGTTTCAAGGTGCAGAGTTTCATGCTGTCTTCCTTCACCCTGTAAAATCTGAAGGCGCTGTCTGTTGACCTTGGGCCCAGGGCAGTGCGTTTCCGCGTGTGGGGCAGTGTGCACAGAAGGTCATAAGAGGAGATTCGGGGCCGGCCGTCTTCATCACCCACAGTGTCCACAGTTCAAATCCCAGCCCCACCACTTCGCCACCTGTCGTGGGAACATCTCTGCGTCTCAGTTTGCACATCTGTGCCCGGGTGGGGAGGGTGGGGAGGGTGGGGGGAGGCAGAATCTACCTCACTGAGAGCGGCTAAATCATTGTGAAGTGGAAGAACATTACAAGCAAAGCCCGGCAGAAACAGCGTCTGGCACACAATGGGTGAACAGTCCGGGTTAGGGCTGTGAACAGTTACTTAGAAACAAGCCCAGGGCCTGTCATTTCGCTGTGCAGCTGTAGGGGGCCCTCGCGAGGCATAAGCCCATCAGAGAAAACGGGGCAGAGACTGGAAGAGGGCGGGGCCTGGAGGTGTGGGCGGGGTTGGCCCGGAAGGTCCTGTCTTGGGCCCTGGGAGAATTCTGGTGAAGGGTAGGTCAGTCCTGGGGTTGGGCACTTGGTAATTTCCCCAGGGACAGCCTGGGTCTGAGTCACAGCTGGTCCTCTGAGGTTCTGGGGAATTTGGGTATTTGGGGGTCTTTAAAGGGGTTCTTTAGTTGTCCCCTTGCCTTATTGATGCTGCCACCAGGGGGCTGGTGGCCTGTGAGGCTGAATGTCAAGGAGTGTGGGGTGTGCCAACTAATTGAGTAAAAACTGGATTTTCTTTATTAAATCAGCTAAAATGTAAACTCTTGCATTCACTGAGCCCCAGTAATCATGATAGATGGCAGAGCCAGCTATGAGGTCAGCTGTCTCATTTTCTCTAGCTCCTCCCCAGCCCTTTCTGGAGGCGGTCACTGTCTCCCTCACCCAGACAGCCAGGAAAGCCTGCCCCTCCTGTCTCAGGGACTCTGGGAGCTTCCTGGGGCTCCAGGTCCGCCCCCCAGAGACCCTGGTCTCCCCTGAGCACACAGCGGCTGCTGTTCCAGCACTCCCTTCCAGCCTTCCTCCTCCAGCAGTCCCGACTCACAGGGACCTCAGTATGGAGCCAGCCACAAGCTGCAGGCGTGCTTGGTCAAATCCAGTCCCGTGAAACCTTGGGATTCCATTTATTGAAAGCCCAGTCCAGTTTGAAAATTTGATCTCATACATGATTTAAGCCTCATCTCCCTTCTATCTAGTTGAGGCGTGAGGCATGGCTCTGAGTCCCCAACGTGGGTCCATGCTGTGGTCAGTGTCCTCAGCACCAGCAGGGGTGAGAGCAGGCCCTTCCTTCCTTCCTTCCTTCCTTCCTTCCTTCCTTCCTTCCTTCTTTCCTTCTTTCCTCCCTCCCTCCCTCTCTCCCTTTCTTCCTCACCTGAGGATATGTTTATTGATTTGAGGGACGTAGGGAGAGAGAAACATCGATGTAGGAGAGAAACATTGGTCATTTGTTTCCCTCAGGTGCCCTGACTGGGGATCGAACCCGTAAACTTGTGACACACGGGACAGCATTCCAACCAACTGAGCCACCCAGTCAGGGCACGTCTTGCTTTTCATTATTCTGGGTCCGGCGATGCGGGAAGTTAGAAATAAGGAGAGGAGTCAGAGAGAAAGGCAAACAGCTCTTTACTTAACGGGACGCCTCTTTCTGCCAGTTGCTGCTACCTCTGCAGCCCTCGTGGACCCTCTGCCCTCCGGGGGGCGTGCGTGAATCCTGGGGGGATGCTGCAGCACCTCCCTTTCCGGTGGCAGGAGGTGCCGCTCAGGCTGCTGGGCCGGGTGCTGGTTCACACGCAGTGCCCATCGGCGAGGGAGGAAGGTGGAGGCTGGGGATAATGGGACTTCTCTGTCTCCTCTTGACTTCTCTGTCTCCCCCTAGTGGACTCCGAGGGAGAAGTCTGTTCTATGTTGGTGCCTCTCTTAAGAACGCGGGGTACTCATTGTCATCAGCTTCGGGTCCTAAAGTCCCACGTTTCTGGCCTTGGGAACCGTCTCCCTGGATATCTCAATGCTAAAATTGGACATGTTGGCTCCAGGCTCGGGGCCCCGGCTAGCTGTTCTGGTCTCATGTTCGAAATGCTGTTTTAGGCGGTTCTGGGTGGTTCTGGTCTTAGGGGTCCTTTCTGGTGTTTTCTGGGCCGTGGTGTTGTCTCTGGTCTTGAGGCAACATGGGTTCTGCTCTCAGCAGTGGTGCCGGCCTCGGAGGTCCCTGACGTTCTGGTGGTTCTGGCCGCGGTGGCATTTGCGTCCGTGTGGTTGTCATCTGGGTGGGGTCAGCAGTTCTTGTCTTGGTGTTGGCTCTGTCCTCACCAGAATGGGGGGGGGGCGCTTCCCTCCTTGTGTGACGGTCTGTGATACCCACGCTCTTTGTTCTCTTGCTGCCTCTTTGACTTCCACTTCCACCTCCATCTTTGGCCGTCTCTGGCTCCTTTTTGCCCTTTGCCCTCCTCTTCCTCCCTCCCTACGTTGTCCCCGCACACCTGAGTCCCTCTCTCAGAGGCGTCCACCTGGGGTTCCTCTGGCCGTGGGGGCGCCCAGCTCTCAGAATAATTCAGACTCTCCAATTTAGGCTTTTGATCTTCTCTTCAATCAGGATTATAGATGCGCCGAAAGATGACTGGTTGTCCATTTTTTTTACATGAACCGTGAAATGTGAGCACTGAATACAAAACACAATTTTGATAATTCTGTTCTGGGTTTTGCTTGTTTCTTTTTTTTTCAACTCAAGGACCCCTCCAAAATAAGAGGCGTCTGTCTGCCTCTTTCATGAGAGAGGCTGAGTCAGGGCATCCACGAGGGGCTGGCCACCTCCCCCTGGAAGTCCCCCGGGGCCTCCAGCACTGCCCCCAACAACCCCCCTCCCAGCTCTGACTCAGGGCCTGGCTCTTCAGTCACCAGACATTGGAGCCAGGGTCCTGGGCTCACTCTGGGGGCATTCTCTTCTGCCTCCCCGACTGGCCCATTCGTTCCATCTCAGAAATGTCTCTTCGATCTGGTTTTTCTTCTCTGTTTCCATGGAGACCGCATGTGTGAAGAGGAGGGTGCGTGGCAAGGGTATGAGATAAAGGAGCTCAGACCGTTGGTGGCCGCCCTGGGGAGGACCTTGAGCAGCATCTTGCCCACGTGATAAAGAGAACTTCACCCATTGGGCAGCATACGGGCCTGGGGGCACTGACCAGGAGACATGGGAGGCACCATGGAGACCCCATTGGACCACTGGGGGCGCCCTTGAGCAAAGGACCCTCGGGAGGCTGCTGGTGCTGGGCCCCAATCAGTCAGGACAAGACCGACCGCTCCGTTCACTACTGTGAATGGGTCAGGACTGAGTTATAAACAAGAGGATGTGAATGTGGAAACCATTTCTGAACCTGAAGCCATGGAAGGGGAGACAAGCGAGTACATGGGATTGACAGAGAACGAGAGAGAGAGAGAGAGAGAGAGAGAGAGAGAGAGAGAAATTGAAAATTCCTTGAGGTTTTGAGCAAGTCTCAGAGGGCCCAGGAAGGCGAAAATTCACCCTGGTCCTGGGAGTCGGCCGGTTACGTTCGAAGGAGCAGTTTCAGGGGGAGGCGTGGATGGTGGACGGCCAGCCCCGCAGGCGGGAAATGAACACTCCTGTCTGAGGGAGGGGCAGGATCCCTGGAAAGGACTTTTTTTTTTTTTTAGCAAAGTGAACATTTAGTATATATGTTCTCTAAGGGGAAGCAGCCAAGGAGAAAGGGAGGGATTAAAGATAGAAGAGGAAAAAACCAATTACAGGTAATTGTTTCCCAACAGAAAGGAAGGAGGCTGTACAGAACT